CTAATCATTACAGCAGCCCTACAAAATATGTATTATCCTTGTCAAAGAAGTAGAATCAAAGGAGTTTATTAGTGTGTTCAGGGCCACAGAGCTCTCAGCAGAGCCAGGCTCTGAATCCAGCCCAGGCTCCAATAAGTTCTTTGGGCTACCACTTTATGGGTTCTGAGACCAACAGTCTTGAGGGTGGGGATTGTTTTGGGGAAGGGATAAAGATGAAAAGGGCATTGAGATAAGGGAACTAGTCATTATTTGGCCAGTCATCTTTTCCAGAAACTCCCGCCAGCCTCCCCTTTCCTGCCCCTGTTATCGCTAGCCAGTTGATGGCTGGGCTGGCCTAGGCTGAGATCCTCTGCTGCAGTCCTTCAGAGCTTTCCTGTTCTAGAGTTTTGCAAAAAGGTAGGAGGAATGTTTGTATGTTAGGCAGGCTTCCTACGGGTGATTATAGAAAGGAAGGGGAGTGATTTTATAGAGACAGAAAAAGAAGCCTGGAAGAAAAGGAAAAAATAAAACCCTGTTTAAAAGAAAACAAACTGACTCAAGCATTTGTGAGCATTATCTGTAGTCTAGACATATAGACAGAAGCCCAGGCCAGGAGTCTAGAAGCCTCCATTTTCTTCTTGCTGTATAACTGACCTCCCTAAGGACCCATGATACATCATTATGACAGTCTTACTGTCTAGTACCAAAAACAGTTTAGGCACACTTCATTTAATGTTATCCTTTATTTGTACCATATTCTCAGGAGGCAGGGGGATATTTTAAATCAATCCTCTTAACGCTCTATGATAAATGACAGAACAAGTAGTAATAGTTCCTTTTGTACAGATAAGGCAACTGAGGCCAAATGACTTGCTCAAGAACAAATAACAAGCTAAAGGCAGATCCACAGAGACCCAATTGCTAATCCACTTTTTCTTTGGAAATATTTCTGAAAACTTTGATTATAGGATGTGACACAGAGTGACAGTAGAGCCTTAAACCAGCACTGTCCAGAAAGTAGACGTAAAACACATTCCATTTACCAGAGGCAATGACCATCTGAAGGGAACAGCTTTCAGTGAGCAAAAGAGAACAGCACAGAGCCAGACTGCCTGAAGTCCCTGCCTATAGCTGATGTGGAAAGTAGATGTAGCACTTCCCCAGAGACTTGGTAGGGCCAGACGGAAGTCAGGCACAAGCTGCTCATCAGAATGGGGGCCCCGGGGAAGCAGGGCTACTCTGTCTACAGAGTCTAAAATGGGAACATCTTATTCCAGAAAACTGGTCTCTGAATTAAATTTTATAATTATTTTTCCTAGGATAAGCAGGAAGACTTTGTATGAAGTTTTGGATTTTATGGCATACTTTTAGGGCTGTCATAACAAGTTATCACAAAATGGGTAGATTGAAACAACAAAAATAAATTATCTGACAGTTCTGGAGACTAGTTGTCCAAAATTAAAGTGTTAGCACTGTTGATTCCCTCTGGGTGCTCCGGGAGAATCTGTACTTCTCTCTTAGTTTCTGGTGGCTGGCAACAATCTTTGGCATTCTCTGGCTCCTCGGACACACATCACTCCAATCTCTTCCTCTGTCATCATGTGACATTTCCCCTACATCTCCCTGTCTCTGTGTCTGTTTGCTTTTATAGGGACACCAGTCACTGGACTAGATATCCCCTTATACAAAATGACTTCTTAACTAATTATATCTACAAAGACCTGTTTTCAAGTAAGGTCATATTCTAAGGCCCACACAAACATGAATTTTGGGAAGCACTATTCTACCCAGAATAGGCACTGAGAAATAATCACATAAATTCAGGCAGAGATCCTTTAAAATTGCAAACAGAAGTGGGATTTTGGCAAGGCTTAATGTCAAAACAGCTTTGTGAGAACTGTTCTGGAGTTATCGACCGTTACATGGAACTGGCTAGTTTCATAGACCTAGCTTTGTGCTGGTGGAATAGAATCCTAAGTTTCTGTTATATGAAGGCCTAACTCATCCCAACCCTTTACTTCATCTTTTTTTTTTTTTTTTTTGGTACTGGGGATCGAACTCGGGACCTTGCGCTTGCGAGGCAGGCAGCAGAACCACTGAGCTAAATCCCTGGCCCTTTACTTCATCTTAATATGAAGTACAGATTGTGACCATAGGGAGCATAAATATTTTAATGTTTTTATTTGAATTTTTGAGCCAGGAAAAATTCTTTTATTTAGTGTAGTCATTCAACAAGGATGTATTGAGCACCTGCTATGTGGTGGGACAGTTCTAGTTAAAGGGAATACAAAAGTGATTAGAACATATTTTGCATACCTGTGACAAGCAAGGTTGGCTACATCCTTTAACTACCCTGTGTTGATTGTAAGTAGAGAAACAAGACTCAAGAGGTGAAGTGACATCACACAGGTCTACAAGTAAATAGACTGGGTCACAGGTAGGATTTTACAGCCTGAGCTAAAGACAGGGCTGCAGAATTAAATTAAGAATTAAACTCCTTTTATTCAGACTCTCACAGCCCAACCACTCAGCATAGGGAGCATGAAGGATGCACTGGATGACAAGACAGAATAAGAAGCTTGTGATAGAATGCCTTTGTTATGTCTTTATTCTGAAGGCAATAGGTAGCACATAGTGTGAGGAAATAGTGATTTATTATGCTACATATTTTATTTGTTCAGTCAACAAATATTCATTAAATTGTGTCACACACTGGGCATAATCCTGGGAATAGAACCATTACAAAAGAGACAGAATCTCTGCCCTTACTGAGTTCACAGCCTAATATACACAGTGATGAGAGAGGTTTGTGTGGTCTCTGAAAATTCCTCTGAAGTTTGAGGGAATGCTGATAAGTAGTAAAGTTGGAGAAATAAACAAGAAAATGGTTTTAAAGAAGGAGAGCACTTTGTACATCATGTTAAGGATAACAAGGAGCCATTCTTATGTGGGGCAGTAACATAACCATGATGTGGCCGTTGAGGAACAGGGCAGGCATAGCCGATGCCCAGGATTACGGCTTGGAGAGCTGATGGGATGGTGATATTGATGTGCTTCACAGAGACAGGAAACAGGAGTGATGAGCTCTGTTTAGATTGTTATACTGAGCCGCTGTAGGACACCTGAATGGGGATGCCTGGGGCCAGAGGAGGCAGTAGGGAGCCCAGGAAAGGAGAACTGAGCTAGAGATTGAGATTTGAGAGTGGTCCTCACACAGGTGATAACTGAAGTTTGGGAGTAGACAGGATTACCCTGGGAGAGGCTCCAGACCTACAATGAAGCTGTGAGAGGGGGAGGAATACTCCCATGGAAGGGAAGGCCAGAGGTAACAGGGAATATAGAATCTCATCAGAGACTTTTTTTAACCTTCCCTGTGTCTTTTCAGGCAGCAGCTTGTGTTCCTCCCCTGGCACCATGGTTACTGTGTCCCCTAGCATAAGCCCTCTCTCATTAGAGCACTCATCCTGCAAATCTAATGGAGTAATAAAGGCATTGATTCTTCCAACAAATGTCCAGGTCACTATGAGAGCTGTAGTGGGAATTCATTTTGGGGTCAATACAGCTGCCAGTGGAACAGTTTTTCCCCAGAGGCCCATTGGCTTTACTTCTTTATACACTGGCAGAAGATGTCCTGCCTAGTATAAAAAAAAAATGACTGGAGAGTAATTAGGACTGTGGAGCATTAATGAGCTGATGATCCCACCTAGGGCTATGAGAAGGGCACAGCCTAAAGTAGGTCAGATAACAAGAAGTGGTAGATAGAGAACTGTGTCCCTCTGATAGGATTTGAATAACCGTAGCCACCATCACCAAAACATTGCCTTAGCAGCTAGCACATCACCTGAACTTAGTTTCAACCTTTATTTCTTTAGAACATCAGTTTCACTGTTGGCATTTTTGAATATTCAATGAGAGTTTTTGCTTATTTTACTGACAACCTCTATGTAGACCTTTACTGGGTAAACGCTGGGGCTATAGAGATAACAACATCGCAGCCACAGTTCTCAGAAACCCAAGGGCTAGGCAGGGAAACAGAATGATCATGGTTATAATGGAAGCAGAAGCAAAACCAGAAGCAGTAGAAAGTTTCAGAAAAAAAAAAAAATCATATCCTCATAGGGTTGTAAAGTCTGCATATGAGTTTGCCAGGAGAGTAGAAATGAAATCCAGGCGGATGGAACAGCATAAGCCAAAACAAAATCACAAAAGAGGCTAGTGTGTTCAGGGACTAATGATGCTTCCATATGCCTTGTTTATGGGTGGAGAAAAGCAGGAAATAGATCAGACTGTGAATAGCCTTGTATGTTATGCTAAGGAATTTGGACAAGATTAGAGAGCCAGCCCAGTGAATAATACCTTTGGCTTGGGGTATAGCAAAGCTATTATCTGTCCTTAACACCTCACTTCCTTTCTAACACAACAGAGGAGGGTTTAAGATAAGAGTTAAGAGAGGAAAAAAGACCAGTGGACAAAGTGGTGGGGATTGGGGCCAGCACTGTCCTCACAGGACTTGCACGAGCAAGCAGGAGGAGTTGGGTCAAGTCTGAAGGGCCAGCTCCAAAGACATTTGTGCTTTTATCAGTAAAGCAGTAAGGCACAGGCCAGTTCCTCCTGTAGTGCCTCATTGAACAATGTCAGCGTAGCTTTGAGGGAGGTAATGACAGTAGAAGCCACCAGAGAGGAAGAAGGCTGTGGTACTCCCTACTCCAGAAGCTGACTTTGCCTGGGGCCAACGTCACATACCTAGATCTTAGGTAGCCATACCTCCTGGGGTGGAGCAGATCCATCCCAGGTCCTGAGAGGCCATGTGACCTCCAGGCTACTCCATGAGTAGCCTCTCAAATTCAATCAGGGTGGCCCAGAGGTATCAGCCCTCCTCTCTGGGAGGATTGGGGGGGCGGGGGTTCAGTATTGCTCGATTAGTATCTCTGCTCTTAACACTTTCTCTACCTCCTACACCCTTCTTTAGGATAAGAACACCTTTCTTTCCCTTTTCACTTGAGTTCTTTCCCTTTTCACAGACTCCCAGAGAAACATCTCAGCCAGCCACGGCCCACGCTCTTCTCCAGCTGAGCTCAGCAGCTCCAGTCAGCACCTGCTCCGAGAACGAAAGTCCTCTGCCCCCTCACACTCCAGCCAGCCAACTCTGTTCACATTTGAGCCTCCTATGTCAAACCACATGCAGCCCCCCTTGTCCACCAGCGCGCCTCAGGAGTATCTCTACTTGCACCAGTGCATAAGCCGGAGAACGGAAAACACAAGGTAGGAGCTGGCTACAGCCATTTCTTGGGTGAGTGGCCACTCACAGGACCTAGTGTTTTCAGCCCCTGGATTTAATTTTAAAGACAAGGGAGTAAAATATTGCCTTTTCATGTAAACAAACATGCATGTAACAAACTATGATTTTTGTTTATGTAACCTTCACATTTTATTGGTATCCATCTGTGTTGCTACTAAGTGATGATTGGGTACCAGAGAAACCTCTCATCAAAAAATTATGCTATAAAAGTGTTTTGTTTGATTTAGAAGTAAAGGGCATGAGGGGATAGAGTTTCAGAACTGAAAAATAACAAAATTTATTTGTTGGCCTTAAGAGCATAGCCACAAAAAATAAAACATTGACCTTTAGGTAGCAATTTATTTTTAAAAATTTGGTTTTAATTTATATATAGGGTCTCCTGTACTGCCTACATAAAACATATCATCATTCACAAATGATGATGCCCTAGTTTCTCTGCCTCTCTAATCCTTATAAATTGAATAAAAAGTTTCATCATCTGATATTTCCAATACCTGACTAAAGTTTTTGTGATTAGAGAAAAAAGTATAGCTGTAAAGCCTTAACATTGTTTTGTGGGATTTTTTTGGTACCAGGGATTGAACTCAGGACCTTGTGCTTTCAAGGCAGGTGGCGGAACCACTGAGCTAGATCCCCGGCCCAGCCTTAACATTGTTGAACAAATCTATATCTCACTTTTGCTCTAGAACTGTTACATATGGTAGCTCCTATTCATATAGGGCTATTTGAATTAATTAAAGTGGTATACTACCCACATTTCAGTGCTCAGTAGTCTCATGTGACTGCTGTACTGGACAGAACAGAAACATTTCCATCATCAGAGAAAGTTCTAGAGTGAAGTCTCCATACTGTTGAATAATGATCTTTGTTCTTATAACTCAGGTAGTTCTCTCACAGGTACAGAACCTATACCTATTTTAACTTTTATTCCCATTGTTAGAAGAAACAAGCGCACACAGCAAATAGGTTTTGTCAGAGCTAGTTCCCAATTGCTGCCATAGCCAAGTAGACTACAAATCATGTTCCTAAATTAAGAGAGATCTAATTGATGTTATAAAAATTAAGGCAAATAGGAAAATGGCTGTATTAATAGATCAGGTCCATAGGAATATTTTCATAGTATCTTTTGAACTTGCCACATACACTGAGAAATAGCCAGTGTAGATAATTTAACTGTTTAATTGTGAAGAAACTGAGGCTTACACCTAACAAATGACGGGGGTGGGATGAGAACCCAGCTCTTCCAAGTTCGTTCTTTTAGTCTTCTTTACCCCTATCCTACTGTACTGATGCTTTCCTGAGTCATTTACCCCTATACCAGAGGCACCCGACACTCAGTCTTAAGGCAGCCTTAAACATCCACTTTCCTGAAGCAGCATCATTCCTTCCACATGAGCTTTCTCTGGCTCGTCTTCCCCTAGCTTATACATGAAGAGCTGAGTTCTAAAAAAGATAGATTGAGTTGGCCCAGATCACTGAACTAGTTGGTGGCAAGCCTGTAAATAGCACTTAATTCTTCTGAACCACAGACCAGAGAGGCAGCGTAATGAAATACAATGAAGAACATGTTAGTCTTTGGTATCAGTCATGTATGGGCTCAAATCAAGATTCTTCTCCTTTCTTTGTGATTTTGAGCCACTTAATCTCCTTGACCTTCAATTTTTCTTATCTCCAGAGTGGTAATAAATGATTCAAAGGATTACTAATGAATGCAAAATGGCAAAACAAACATCATGTACCTAGTAGTAGATATTCAGTACATGTTACCAGTTGTTCTTTGTGGTTCCCCTCCACTTCTACTACACATGATTATTTGGGAGTAGAAAAAGTGAGATCCTAAATTCCTAATGGTAGTTAATATTAGTACATGTGAAATATCCATGCGTCTTGTTGTAATGCTCTTTCTGATTCAGTATGCTTAGCCAGGATCCTGAGATCCTGCCTTTCTGATAAACACCAGATGTGCCAGTGTAGCTTGTCTTCAGATCACTCTTTACGTAATATTAACTACTACCACCTCCACCCCCACGGTACAGCTAAAGCACCAGAGAACAACTTTGCAAGTGTGTCTGCTTTAGTTGACAGCAGGAAACTACCTTCTGTACCCTTCCTCCTCTGGAAAGCCTGTGTTAGTCTTTCTATTGTGAATTACCAGACCAGGTTTTCTTTTGCTTTCCTTTTTTTGTGTGTGTGTGAGACAAGGACTCACTATGTAATCCAGGCTGGCCTTAAACTCACTGTGTAGCCCAAGGTGGCCTCGAACTTGCAGTGATCCTCTCTTGCCTCATCTCCCAGGTGCTGGGATTACAGGTGTATGCCACCACATCTATAATCCAGACCACGTTTTTTTTTTTTTTATCTCACACCCTTTAGAACATTCTACCTTCTAGTGTGCATGTTTGTATTTGTGTTTGATTTTTTTATTTCCTTTTACCCTGAGCATATGATTTTTTTTTTTTTGGGGGTTTGGTTTTGGTGCCAGGGATCGAACTCAGGACCTGGCGCTTGCGAGGCAGGTGTGGGCACCACTGAGCTAAATCCCTGACCACATGTTTGTATTAATATGTTACAACTCTTTGAAGATAAGACTGTGAGGGCATGTTGTAGGTGCATAATAAACATCAATAAATGTGTGTTGAAGAGAGAGGACATAATGCATGGAGAAAGTAGAACATATATAGATAGTTGAAGAGGCAGCATTGTTGTGGATACTTGTCCAGTCTGTGCTTTTCTGCATCTTTCCTTCTCTCTCCCTCTTTCTCTCTCTCTCTCTCTCTCTCTTTCTTTCTGTACCGGAGATCAAACTCCTCGGGTCCTTGCACTTGTGAGGCAAGCGGCGGAACCACTGAGCTAAATCCCCAGCCCTCAGCATCTTTTTTTATACTTGCATGCATGAGGGAGCAAGAACGTAATGATCACTCTCTTGGGGAGATTTTTGGAGAAAAAAAGTTCAATAGTGTTTTTAGAATTCTAAGGGAACGAGGTTGGGAAGAAAGTTTTCTTAAGTCCAGGAAGACCACATAGTTTCTGAGAATGGTAGTATTAGTAGAGTACCTTGTATCATTACTAAACCCACTGTAATATTTATAAACTCTGAAAAAAAATTGTTTTTTTAAAAACTGAAGGTACTTATTATGCTTTATACCTGCATGTCCCCTAAGAACCTCTTGCATTCATAGGCAGGGTCTTTTAGAAGAGGATTGGGGGAAAAAAGAAAAAGAGGATTGGGAAAAAAAATAGAACAGGATTGGACCAAGAGGGTATTGTAGGTGAGTTGCTGTTAGGAGATGGGGCCTGGTCAAGGGAGGCAGACCCCCGGGTGTGACCTGGAAGGTGTATCTCCAAGTTAACTCATAGTGGAGAGGACTCAGTACACAGACACAGACTAAAATAAACCTAGATCTTGGAGCTAGCCTACAAAGATTTTTAAATAATTATGTTGATTTTTTAAAATCTATGGGTAAATACATGGTGAATTCTAGTAGAGGTACAGAAACTTTGAAAAACAGTTTACAAATTCCTTGTCCACTATGGTGGCAGAAGCCACTTTAGACTGTGCCTCTCACTGGTTACAGCTACACAAAATGAACAAAATCCATAGTATAAAACCAGAACTTCTGAAAAGTAAATAAAGGGAAGGAGATTATAGAGGGGAGAAAAACTTGGAGAAGGACTTCACAGAGGTAAATTTTCTGTCTCTTGTTGATTTGTCTCCACAGTGAAGCAAGTGGCCAAAACTTTCAGGGAAACTCCATCTTTCTGGGTAGAGGAGACATAAAAGGAAGCCCTTGGGGGCTGGAAAGGTGTGAATGTCTCAAAGTGGAGACATCTGGAGAAGGGAATCTGAATATTGCGCATGAAATTATACAGCTCTTAGGATCACTTGGAGCTACCCAAATGAGCATAACAAAGGCTATGTGAACTAAGCTAAGATTTGAGCTATCACACAAGGAAAGACAGAATTTGCAGTCTGAAATTATCAACAGAAGACAGATAATCCAGATATTGGGATTATAAACATAGATTTTTTTTTTGTACACTATATGTATGGTACTAAGGATTGAACCCGGTGTCTATCCACTGAGCTATATCTTAGCCCTTTTTTGTTTTTTGAGACAGGTCCTCTCTTGCTGAATTGTCCAAGTAGGACTCAAACTTGGAATTCTCCTTCCTCAGCCTCCCTCAGTGCTGGGTTTGGAAGTGTATGTCACCACACCCAGCTCAGGCATAAACTAAAACCTCTATGACAACAGTGTTCTGTTGTAAAGGTAAACACATCTGAAATTAGTGGAAAAGGACATCAAAAACCTCTGCTGACCTAGAAGTCTATATTCTGTAAAAGTATCCTTCAAGGTTAAAAACAAAGCTAATATATACTTTAGTTTGTTTTGTTTGTTTATTTGTTTTTTGGCACTGGAGATCAAACTCGAGTCCTTGCCCTTACGGAGCAGGTGGCAGAACCACTGAGTTAAATCCCCGGCGTTAACTTTTTTTTTTTTTTTTTTTTTTTTTGGTACCGGGGATCAAACTCAGGTCCTTGTGTTTGAGAGGCACATGGCGGAACCACTGAGTGAAATCCCTGGCCCGCTAGTATATTCTTAGACAAAGGAAAAATAGAATTTCCAGGACAGATCTGCTTTCATAGAAATGGTAAGTTCTTCAGGCTGAAGCAAGATGGTACCAAAAAGGAAACTTGGATCATCAGGATCATGGAAGAACAAGAGAAATAGTAAATATGTGCATAACTATACAAGGCTTTTCTTCCCCTTGTAAATTCTTAACATATGTGTAAGTGTTGAAAATAAAAATGAAACATTGTCCAGTGAGGTTCCCAACTGTTTTCTTCAGCTTGAAGAGCTCCCTTTAGCATTTCTTGCCATGTGAATCCTATGGTAAAAAATTTTCCCAGCTTGCATTTATCTATAATGCATTTACCTCCTTTTTTTTTTGGTACTGGGGATTG